TTCGTTTATATGGTGTTCCTTGAATGAAGGGTTGTGGTTTCGGGTTTAGGGTTTTCAGTATAAGGCATTGCTTAAGTGAAGGATGTTGGTTCAGGGTTTTGGGTTTCGTGTTTTTGAGTTTAAGGCATTCCTTAAGTGAAGGGTGTTGGTTCAGGGTTTTGGGTTTAGGGGTTTTGAGTATAAGGCACAGGGGAGTCGGAAGCACGAGTGTGCTTCTTCTCATCATGGGAGCTGGGTCCCTATCGGGGATAAGGGTGCCTTTGACGGAGGGACTTAGTTTTCTGTACTGTCGAGGCCTGAATCATTTGCAGAGGTTGTTGTTTCGGGGGGGGGGGGGTACAGTATACTATAGCTGCACTGGGGACGACAAAACAGGACACTAGCATCACTAAACAAAAGAACGCAAATGGAGGCTATGCTTGATGGCACCAGCCCACCTTGGGGCACACTTGGGTGATTGGACATAAGTCCAGAGACCAGCTGACCATCAAGTGCAGCACTTGCGGGCTGTATGTGGAACAAACGGAGTCGGTGAAGACTTTTGACAGAAAGGTTAACCACCATTGTTTGCTTCAAGGCCCTGCCTTTCCCATGAGGGCCCACGGCTCCCATCGGATGGTTAATGGGGGTAAGGCATGGCTGTGCACGCGATGTGGCATGAAGCAGTGGGTGGCACAAGAAATCCTCGGCACGGCCCTTAGTAAGGAATGTCGCCAGCGTTACCAGGCCAAAGACCCTTGGGTGAAGCATTTACCCTAAGGTGCCATGAACCGTTTTACTAGTGTAATCTTGAGCCTTAAAGGCGATCCTACGCAGGTATTTTAAGACCTAAGACCCAAACCCGAAACCCTAAGCTATACTGTATAGGTACATGGAGCCTTAGGTTAAAGATCAGGGGGGTTGGGGAGTTTGGTGCTTTCGGCCTCTGGAGCTAAAGAGCCTTGGCAGGCTTTTTGGATGCCCGAGGTTCTACGGCTCTGGGGTTTTAGGGTTTAAGGGTTTAGGGTTTTAGGGTTTACGGTCTTAGGGCTTTAGGGCTTTAGGGTTCTAGGGCTCTGGGGTTGTAGGGTTTTACGGTTTAGGGTTTTGGGGCTTTGGGGTTTGAGGGTTTTAGGGTTTTGGGTTTAGGGTTTTAGGGTTTTAGGATTTTGGGTTTAGGGTTTTAGGGTGTAGCGTGTAGGATGTATATTGTTTCAGTCTAGATTTGAAGCTTGGGTGTTGCTTTCAGGCTTTGCGATGTATGCACCCAGGAGGTCTTCATAGGGTCCTGAGCGTTCAACAAGAAAGGATGTGATTGCCCCTACGGTGGATGATATAAATCCTGCATGACCTTAAGGACCCTAAACTATGGGAATTGTGGTATAATCCTTATCATGGGTAATGCAGGATTTACACCATCCACCGTATGTAGCTATGTCCTTCTGGACTTGAAAAGTAGAAGACAGCTTGTCGCAGCATCCTTGAGCCCTATAAACCCCTAAAACTCTCAAATTTAGGTACGGTAGGCCCTTGAGGTAAAGTGTGCGGAATCGCAGATCCGTCCTTATCCGGTGTTCCAAGCGTCTGAGGTTCGCTGTATTCCAGCAGTTTAGACAGTAATTTCCATGCAGCTTCGACCTTCAAACCGAGGAGGATCAGTGGACCTTGTGAACACGAATTTTGGGTTTAGGGACTAGAAGCTTGGAGTTAGGATGTAGGATATAGGGCTTGGGGTTTAGGGGATAAAAGGAATTACGCTTTTGTTCTTGCTTTTTCGGATGAGGGGCACCGACCACGACATGGCAGGACACACATGACCTTTACCCAGGCCACCGTGCGGCTTGGCTGCCTTAGGATTTCCTGGGGCCTTCGGGCTCAGGCTCTCCGGGCTTTGGGGTTTGAAGGTGTAGGGTTCAGGGTTTAGGTTTCAGGTTTTAGGGCTTAGGGTTTAGGGTTTAGGGTTTGGCTTAGGGTTTAGGGTTTAGGCCTTAGGGCTTTGGGTTGAGGATTTAGGGTGTAATAAACCCTAAACCCTAAACCCCAGTGTAGGGCTCTGGGACCCGGGATTCCCATCGGAAGTCTGGTGCCACGCTCATGTACTGCCTTCGCAAGGTCGTTGTGCAATCGAACCAGTAGCTCGCACGAGAAACGTACAAGAAATCCATATGCCCTAACAACCGAAACCCTGAACCATCTAAGCCCTGGAAGCCCCACAAGCCAAACTAGCCCCGTAGGCCCTAAACCCGAAAAACCGAAACCCTTAAACCCTAAACCATACCCACAAGTTGTTCAAGGGTTTGCCTGATGCTCCCTTTGCTGCTGTGCTCCTGCATATTAGGTACCGCACACAGGGCGGTGGTTGTTTCACGGCCCTGTCGTAGTACAGCAAATTCGGCCCGTTTCTTAGTCCAAAGTCAGCAGAACCCTGAGAATCTAGCTGGCTGGGGCGAAAGCTTAAAGTCTCAAAACTTCACGAACGATCTTGAATAAAACCGAAACCCTAAACCCTCCTAAACCCTAATCCCTCCTACAACCTAAACCCTAAACCCTGTAAACCCGTAACCCTCCTAGCAACCCTCCTAAACCCTATAAACCCTAAACCCTCCCAAAACCAAGCAACTAAGCCAAGCTCGAGCCTGAACCGCAAGCTCCGAAGCTCTGAATCCAAGTCTTCAGACCATCAACCCAAGGGTTTAGGGCTTTAGGGTTTTGGGATTTAGGGTTTAGGGCTTTAGGATTCTAGGGTTTAGGGTTTAGGTTTTGGGATTTAGGTTTTACGGTTTGGGGTTTAGAGTTTTAGGGTTTAGGTTTTGGGATTTAGGGTTTAGGATTTGGGGTTTTAGGGTTTAGGGCTATACCCTAAACCCCTAAACCCTAAACCTGAGGAACAAGAATCAGCAAGATGCCAGGGACCTGGCGAAGATGTGCAGTGTCGGGTTTGGGCTTCAGAGCGTTTGAAGTTTCGGGTTTTGGGTAAACCCAGGAACGACGTCCAAAATTTGGTGCTTGTGGTCTCGGTGCTGGTGTAGTTTCGCCAATGAAGCACCTTAGACTGGACGGTTTAGAGATGGAGGGGGTCAAGGCTGATCTGTCCGCAGAGAAGCATCTGAGAGGTTCAAGCTCTACGGTTTGAAGCCAAGCCCGGGGGGGGGGGTGGATTCCTACCCTGTAAACAACCTTAGGCACCGAGCCCAAAAAGTTAAGCTTAAGTTGAAGACCAGGGAGAGACATGTCTTGATCAGGGCTTAGGCTCTACGTATCCAAGCCCGGAGCAAAATGACACTAGTCAACATGCTTCGCTGCATCTTGCACACCAAACCAACCCTAAACCCTAAACCCCGAACCTTGAAGCCCTCAACCCTAAAACCCGAACCTTGAAGCCCTAAACCCTCAACCCTAAACCCAGAACCTTAGCCCTAAACCCAAAACCCTAAACCCGAACCTTGAAGCCCTAAACTCTAACCTCGAACCTGGAAGCTCTACTACCCGAACCTTGAAGCCCGAGAGCCCTGGAGACCTTAAAGTAGCTTAAAGGAACCCTTGAAGGAACCCTTCCCAAGCCTCCTTAAAGAAAGCCCCTTGTAGATAAAGCCGTGCAAGGCCAAGCGGGTTTAGGAGCTTTGGGGTTTCAGGGTGTAGGGGTTTATGGGGTTTAGGGGTTTAGGGGGTTTTGGGTGTTTAGGGTTTAGGGGATTAGGGTTTAGGGGTTTAGGGGATTAGGCCTTTAGGGGATTAGGGTGATTAGGGGTTTAGGTGTTTAGGCTTTTATTTAGGGGTTCAGGGTTTTAGGGTTTAGGGCTCTGGCCAAGGCTTTCAGAGACATCATGATGAAAGCTCGACGCAAGCGGCTAGGTTTGCCTGCAGAGGCCAGGCTTTAGGGTTTCGGTTTTAAGGTTACTTATAGGACTCAGTTGAAGGGCTCTGTAGATTAAATGGGCGATAATACAACTTCCTAAACCCTAAACCCTAAACCCTCTGTTGTTGTCCAAGTTGGTTCGGGCTTCGGGATCTGGGAGAGATGTTCCCATTCAGCGCACGATGAGTCTGACGTCTGAGTATACTAGGGTTTAGGGTTTAGAGTTTAGGGAATGCCACTACCACGAGGCACCTGGCAACATCCAGAGAACGATTCGTCTCTTCACTCGGCATGATTGCGTTGTTAACAGTAAAGTTAGTTAACTCCTTTCTGACTATGCTTACCGGTAGCAGTCACTTGGTAGAGACTGTGCCCCTGCCGTCGGGGTCGTAGTACTGGCACTGCTGCATGTTGCCAGGCACCAGGCAGTGTCGAGATCAACGATCCGTTCGACGATTGAGCCTGTACAGGAAGAGCAGCAGAGATTCCAAATGACCCCTGAGTTAAGCATTATGCCTCAACTCACACAGGGTTATCCTGGACAGGATCTACGGTACATTCCTTAATGACGGGGTTTCTGGAGCCTCTGGGAACAGCACAGCCTCAAAAAGGGGGCTTGGATCATCGGTGCGAAGTGCAATTCAGCAGTAGCGTCGGTAACCTTTTAAGTTTTGAGGGGCACTATAACCCCGATATAATCCAAAAGCTTGAGCTTTAGTTTCCCCTACAATAAAGGACAAGTATATCAAGAAGGCTTTGTAAATTGGGGGTCTTGGTGATGAAAACATTCCTTTGGCTTCTACATTTGGGTTAAGTCACATGACATCAACGAGGCACCGGGGAAGAAGGCCTTTTTCCAGATTTTGTGGATTCAGTCTTGGGGTTGTCTTCAGCAATGGGAGCTGTTCAGCTTTCAGGGTGGAGTGAGACTGAAATGCGAAGGCACTTCCTAGTTGGGGACGGGAGAGGGGTGGCTCGAGGAGGCATCGATTGCCGAGATGCGTCTTCCTCGGTTAGCTGCAACAACCATCACCAGCAACAGCATCGCGATATCCGTAATGTTGACCATCATCAAGGATGACGGAGAAGTGTACTCACAGCAATCATTGGTGTCCTGTGGGTAATTTTGTCTTGCGAAGGGCAAGGGCCTTACGAAAATGACCAGGCCTGGGCAGCATCGTGACGGACGGGCGTGATGGCACCTTTGTGCTCATTGGCTTCCCCGCCGACGAAGGCTGCGTCCGCAACGGCGGCCGCTCGGGTGCAAAGGGCGGCCCCGAGGCTTTCCGCCGCTTCTTCCACGGCATGGGCACCGTGGTCAACCCCGAGTACGACGTGGACCTTCGCGACTACCTCACTGTCAGCGACGCCGGCAACGTGGCGGGCGACACACTCGAGGACATGCATGCCGCCCTGCGCGAGGTTGTGGCGGACGTCGTGCAGGGTGGTGGCATCCCCATCGTCATTGGCGGCGGTAACGACCAGTCGGCCCCCAACGGATTCGGGGCGCTGGACGGTCTACAGCGCAAGCACGGCGGCCGAGATGGGGGCGAGGGCGGCGCGGCGCCCCCATTGGCAATCGTCAACATCGATGCGCACCTAGACGTGCGCCCACTGATGGACGACGGCCGACCGACAAGCGGTACCCCCTTTCGCCAGCTCTTGGAAAGCGGCCAAATCGAGCACGGGAACTTCACCGAGTTTGCTGCCCAGGGCAGCCAGTGCAGCGCCGATCATGCCGAATATGTCTGCGACCGTGGCGGCCGCATCGTGTGGCTGTCGCAGCTCGGCGGCGAAATCACTCCCAACGTTTTCGACCACTGCGTGCTTGGGCCGGCGGCGCGAAAGGCCTTCTTCCTAAGTTTCGACATCGACTCAATCCAGTCGTCGGACTGTCCAGGCGTGAGCTGCCCAGCGACGGTTGGCATCACGGCCGCGGACGCGATGGAGATCTGCCGCCGGTGTGGTGCACACGACGGGCTCACTGTAGTTGATTTCAGCGAGCTAAACCCCGCGGTGGAGGACTACCGCACGCCACGGCTCGTGGTGAATCTTGTGTACAACCTATTGCTCGGCTACGCCCTCAAGCAGAAGGGCAAACAATCGTGACAACGAACACGTGGACGTCGAAGGAGCAAGTGACTGCTGCTGGAGTTGAGCAAATTCGCAGCCCATAGTATAGGTTGGCCTGCATCTGAAGACTCGCGTGGCACCCGCGTCTACTCACAGTGCACATGGATGCGATGGATGGATTGATGATTGATGGAGGGAATTATGTATGTATGCATGTGTATATACAGTCGTGCATATCTCTATATATGTATATGTATATCATGTGTGTGTGTATGTGTGTATACATATATATATATATATAGGTTTATACACACCCACATGCAAGCAAGTATATTTAGGATTTGTGAAGGGTTGGTTTTGGGCTTTGGGCTTTGGGGCATTTTGAGGCTTAAGCTTCCGTGTACATGTTCCTTGCGCAGCAGTCAAGACCACCGGGTAAAGGCCTCAGATTGCAAAGTTCAGTGGTCAGCCGGGCCAGAACTAGAACACAGCCGCTGCTTGGTGAGAGCCATTTGAGAAGTCAGCCGGCTCGTTCTGGGTTTCACCGTTGTCCTTGGGTCCCGGCTTATAGACCGCGCACTGGCCCTCCACCCCACATGTTTTGGGCACGATCACCATGAACAGCAGTTGTCAGGATGATCATGAAAATTTTAGGGGCATGGCAAAACCAGCAAAGAATCGCATCCACATCAATCCATAATTTGCTTCACTAAGTGCCAGCTTTTGCCTTGCCCAAGATGATGTTCGCGAGCTGGAGGCGGGACCGAGATGTCTCTATCGGTTCCTGGGTCTCTCCCAAGAACCCTAACACTAAACCCTCAACCCTAAGCCCTAAACCCTAAACCCTAGCCCTAAACCCTAAGCTTCCCTAAACCCCTAAGCCCCCCCATGCTTCCTTGAGCCTCAGCCAGAAGACTCTACTGCTGCCCTCAACCCCAGATTCCCGAAGCCAACTTAACCTCAAACGAAGATGTGGCTAGCTCTCTCAGTCAGGGTCCCTTTTTGGGTCCCTAACACAGTACGGCACCCTTATAAAAAGAGGACCGAAAAAGGCCCTAAACCCTAAACCCTACTTTAGAAAACTACCCACATGTTCCCAAAGCTGCAGAGCTTCATCTTCGAGTCCCAAACCTACCAGGCTTCGAGATTCGGATTTCAACTTCTCTTTAGGGTTTAGGGGTTTAGGGTCTAGGGGTTTAGGGGTTTAGGGTTTAGGGTTATGTTCAAGAGCCACTGACAGAGCCGAGTCTCCCAAGCCCCACAAGGTGTAGGGTTTTACGGTATCAAGATTCAAGAACGACAGAGCTTCCCTGAACTTTGTGTTGGCCATGAGCCACTGGCTGGGGCACAGGAGTTTGTGGCTCGAGGAGATGAAGATCATACAAGCAAGGAGCCCGGCTCCTAAGAGCCGATGAAGAGGTACGGTTTAGGGTTTAGGGTTTACAGACAAGCGGGCCATTCACAAAATGGAGCAGGAGTTGCAGTTGTCCAGGTGGGCCGAGGCCCTGGACGCGATTCCTGTTCGTGAGGAGCCAGCTTTAAAGGGCCTAGGGTCGTCGAAGATTCCTGACTTGAGCGGAGTTGGGCTATCTGAGTGTGGGGTTGCATGGAATCTCGTGGTTGGGAGCTTTGGGAAGCTTCCGGATGCCTGTGTGGAGGTCTTAGACAATGAGGGTCTTGACACCCTTAAAGTCCAGCTTCAAAAGCTTACAGCTTCCCTTTGAAACCCTTGAAACACTCTCAAAGACCCGTTTAGAACCCTAACAAACCCTACAAAGTTTTAACATCCTTATCGTGGGTTGATCTTGCACCACGTTTTGCGAGAAAATAAATTTGGGCTTTCAAGTTGGGTTTGTACCAACGAAAGTCACACTTATCTGAAGACAAACACTCGAGCGCAATCCCGTGAAGCCTAAACCTATACATCCTGCTAACACCCTAACCCCTGAACCCTAAACCCCTGAACCCCTAAAACCCTAAACCCCTAAAGCCCTAAACCCTAAACCCCCAAAAAAACCCTAAACCCCCGAACCCTAAGCTTCCCTAAGCTTCCCTAAATCCCCGAAGCCGTGAACCCCTACGAAGGTGCGACACTCTGAGGTCCGGGGCCCACACCCCGGAAAGCCCTTCCGACTCTTGTGGCCAGAGCCCTAAGCCCTAAACCCTAGAGCCTAAACTCTAAACCCTATAAACCCTAAACCCCAAAATGGTAGTCTGAGTTGTGGCTTTTGGGGTCAGGGGTGGTCTGAGTATTGACTTTTGGATTTAGAGGTTGTCTGAGTTTTGACTTTTGGGTTTAGGGCTTTAAGGTTTCGGGCTTGGGAGTACCCTAACATGGAATCCAAAATAAGAAGGTCTTCAGTATGGATCTTTGATGGCGGCCATATCTTATTTTTATTGTATTTTTTGGGGAGTCCACTTTATATGACATCACAACGATGCCTTGGACAAGGTAATATATAACAGACCAAATAGTTACCAGTCTTATAGGGCTCCTTATTACACGTCTACCATAAGGTACCCCAAGACAGTATTCTAATCGTAGGAACCTGATTAAGAAACCCTGGCGCTAAAACCCCCAATATATTACGATTCCTACCAAGAACCCGAATAAAGACCCAAGGTTTAGGGTTTAGGGCTTAGGGTTTAGTCTAGGGCATTTTCAGGTGGGTAGCTACCGTTATAGGAGCCTTATAGAAGCCCTATATACCCTAAACTCCCCACCTGTAGTTCCTTTAATTTAGGGTTTAGGGTCTAGGGTCCTGCATTACATGAACCCTGCGTCTGAAGTTTTTCAGATACTGGGCCCTGCTGGCGATGCTGCTGCAGCCCGCCAGCGCTGACGGTCCCCTCGCACGGGGGCACAGAAGGATTCTTAGGGTTTAGGGCTTAGGGTTCAAGGGTTAGGGGTTAGGAGTTTAGGTTTAGGGTTTGGGGTTTGGGGTTTAGGGTTTAGGGGTTCAGGGCTTATAGGGGTTATAGAGTTAGCTATAGACTTGTGCAAAGGGCTCAATAGGTCCTACGGGGCTTCGGGGCTTCAGGGCAGATTCTAATTCTGGCTTCAGAAAGCTAAGGGGGGCCTTGTTTCGAGACCGTTTTGACAAGGACCGTGCTACTCACTTAGTCCTCTAAGTCAAAACTCCCAGATGGTTCGCAATGCAGTGTGTAGTCACAGTGTAGCCTGCGAGTTATGAATTAGGCTCTCGCCTGGCGCGAGTTGTTGGGGCTCGGTGTGTCCGGATAGCATCAAACCTTGGGCTCAGACAGTAGGGCCTGTAGTTTCGGGTTTAGGGCTTAGGGTTTAGGGGTTTAGGGTTTAGGGGTTTGGGGGTTTAGGGTTTGGGGTTTAGGGGTTTAGGGGTTTAGGGGTTTAGGGTTTGGGGCTTAGGAGGACGGAACTTCAATGGTCTTACGCTTTGGGTTGAATGAAACCCGCAGCCTAAAGCCGTTGTCCGAGAGTTCATGGCGCGACGACCCCTAGGAGCTTTGGGACAGGGAGTTGTCCAACACACCACAGGCTAGTATAGGGGCCTAAATATTTGCCAATACTATTCCTCTATATATATATATATATTCTAAATGTTCAGAACCCCCTATATTGCCTCTTCACGTGGCGCACTGGGGCAGGGAGCTGCCTAAACAGCACTCGAGCGTGACCTCCCACCGCAGCGCTGCTTCGATCCGCTTGGGGCCGACCGAACACCTAGTTCCCGAAACCCCAATACTAAACCCTACACACCCGAAACTCTTAGACCCAAAACCCTAAAGCCTAAAGCCCGAAACCCCTAAAAGAAACCCCAAAAACCTTTAGACCCATAAGCCTAAAGCCTAAAATCCTAAACCCCAAACCCTGCAATGGGAACTCTTGATTAATAAACCCATAAACCGCTCTTCCCCCCACCCCCCCGCCTCGCGAGGTAGGTCAGCTGGTGGCCTGATCCGACCCCTAAAACCTTTAGACCCAAAGCCCTAAAGCCTAAAACCCTACACCCCCCTAGCCTTTAGACCAAAAACCCTACAGCCTAAAACCCTAGACCCCTAAAACCTTTAGACCCAAAGCCCTAAAGCCTAAATTAGTGAACCCCTAAAGCCTTCACACCCAAAACCCTAAAGCCTAAAACCCTAAGCCCCTCAAACCTTTAGACCCATAACCCTAAAGCCTAAAACCCTAAACCCCTAGAACCTTTAGACCCATAACCCTAAAGCCTAGAATCCTAAACCCCTAAAACCTTGAGACCCATAACCCTAAAGCCTAAAACCCTAAACCCCCAAAACCGTTAGACCCATAAACCCCTGAACCCCCAAACCCATTGACTCCTAAACCCTATACAGCCATGGGGTTTAGGGCGTTAGGGGTTTAGGGTTTTAGGGCTTTAGGGGTTTAGGGGTTTAGGGCAAGAGGGGTTTAGGGGGTTGGGGTTTAGGGTTTTAGGGGTTAGGGTTTAGGGGTTAGGGTTTAGGGGTTTAGGGTTCAGGATCTCAGCCTAAACTGATATTCCAGGGCCACTCGCTCTCAAGGATGGACATATAAATAAATACATAATTACATAAATAAATAAGTATGCATACATCTATATATATATATATATGCATATTTTTTCTTTATAGATATGAGTATCGTGTGATAAACCTCAAAAAGCCGTCTTAATTTTCTGGCCACTGTACCGATAAGTTCACCCCTGAATCCTAAACCCTACACTGTGTCGGTAAGTTCGCTATGCGCAGAGCTTTGCTGCTTCTCGATCCGTGATGCCCTCGAGGCCCTAAGTCCTAGAGCTCAGGGCCAAACTCCTGCAAGACCTAAAGTACCCTAAGAGGGTTTAGGGTTTAGGGTACCCTAAGCCTCAAGTAAGTCGAGTTTTGGGAGATATTGCATTCTCCATGCAGTATGAAGGATAAGTCTACGCACGTGTAGCTTGGGCACTATTGTCTCTTCCCTATTTCTATGAATATCGCATGTTTCCGGCTTTCGCCTATCAACAAAATGTGTGGGTAAACGCTTCACCTGCTGACATTCACACTATGAGCAGAAGCTT